AGATCGTGTCTGTTCGCACATCTAGTTGAGGAAGCCCCTTAAGCATCAACTTCTTCATCATCACACTTAGTTTGGAATAGCTAACGTGACCTAACCATATACGCCATAGATCTGCTATCTCATTTTTTCTTGTCCTATCTACATATGTAGATTCTGCTGACATCACGTAGACTGATTACAATCGTCGTCCCTCCATTGTCGGTGTTTCTGAAGTTTTGAGATCACGGTACACCTTCACATCTCGGGGATCGAACAAGACATAGTGGCCTGATGATGTTAATTGAGCCATAGATAGCAAGTTTTTCCTTATTTCTGGGACATGATAAACATCTTGAAGTAGCACCTAGTTAGAATTATATCGAGGCGTAACTATCGTCTTACCGATGTGAGCTATCGGTAACCTTGAGTTGTCGGCTGTCACCACTACACGACCTACCTTATACTTAGACAGACTTTTACAACTTCTGTTCATCACCCGTCATAGGATTTGAGCAGCACGAATCTATGATCCAGTCATTCTTATAATCAATCTGTTCTGGAGTTGTTATCGTGAGAGCTAATTCTTCTTCTTCTTCTGTAGCGAATAATGCTTCGTAATCTCCTTGGAAATGGAAGTAGCAGTATTACTTTCAACGGGCTTTTTCTTAGTCCAATAATCTTTCACCATTTGGCCCATCTTCCCGTAGTTGTAACACTCGCCATCAAACTTTCTACTATTATCGTGATTTTTCGAAGCTCCCATAGACGATAGCCTCCCTTTCCTTGGTGAATTTTCACCTTTTCATCATCCTTTTTAGATCCACCACCAGTGTGCCGCTTGAAACTATCTTTGCTTTTATTGGTGTAGAGTGCTTCCTTTTCACCCTTCAGCAAGACTCCTCCCATTTGCTTAGCCATAGCTTCTTGACCTGCAAGCAAATTTAAAAACTCAACAAGTGATGGTTGTGTCGGCCATCCCTGTATAATGGTAACAAACTCTCAATATTCAGATCTCAAACCATGGATATTTATCCTCTTTATCCTAGTTTCCACAATCAGAGCTTTCAGATCTAATTCTAAAATTTCGCAGCATATCAACTTCACCTTGTGAAAATACTGGGCAATCGTCATGTCATGTTGCGCCATCGATAGCAGCTCGTTCTCGAGAATTTGTAGTCTTGTATCATTCTTCTTTGAAAAGAGTGTAACAAAAGTGTCACATGCTTCCTTCGATGTTTTAGCATCCCGAATGTGCTCTAACATTTCTTCTTCAACTATGGTCTTTAAAGCAAACATCGCTTTGCCTACTTTAATTTCTATTTCTGTAAGATGCCGTTTGCATCTTCTGCCTTCGGTTGTGTAACTTCGCCACCACCGACAACCTCCCAAAGGTCTTGACCTTATAGGTAAGACTCCATACATGTTTCCCACGTGTTGTAGTTTTTGTTGTTGAGCTTCTTGATTCCTCCAACTACTTGATGGCCATCCACCGTGCAGGCAAGACTTCGACTATGCTGAACAAGCTTGACTAACAAACTTGCAGAGTACCAAACTCCTCACGACTCAAGATTGCTCCACCAAGAAAAATTTAGAGTACACAACTCTAAACTTACTAATATTGGACCCAAACAAGTAAACAAATCACTTGTATTATACTCACAATAAAGGACACTACAACACTTTTCAAAGACCACTCATAATTTGAAGAGAAATACAAACACTCAAAAGAAAGCTCACAACTCACACTCAAACTAAGAATACAAAGGCATAATTTTTTTCTGGAGAATACATAACTCAAATGCAAGGGAGGGTATTTATAGTCCTCACCATGCAATCTACACCACATAAATATAAATTTATGAAATAATCCTAATCACACATTCTATCTTTTTATATCCTTTTACAATTTTCTCTTAAAAATATTTTTCTTCCACATTTATTGAGAAGTTTTCATTGTCTTGGGCTTAGATGAAATGGATTGGGCTTTTATTTTCCTTGAGCTAAAATAAAAAAATAGATTGGGCTTTGTAATGGGCTGGGGTTGATCTTCAACAAGGACTACAAGATAACAGAAAATGGCTCTTGGATGTTTCCTCTTCTCCGATCTCAAGCAAATGCAGCCGCGTTACTCCTCATCTCCTTCGCTTTAAAGGTCCACCAAGTAGTTCTCCGCACAGTCGCAAATATATGCAAAATAAAGCAAATTACTGAACTGTATAGTTGAGAATGGTACCGCACATGAACAGTCCAGCTAATAGACATTATAGAAACATGCTTATGAATTTTCATCTTTCCTAACTTTCCTTTTCATCTAAATATTGCACTATCAGATGAAGAAAGCTGATCAATAATATAAAATTTCTTTTGATAACATTTCACCAAATATTCAAGTTAATAACGATTTATGTAAGGATAATTCTGAGGAAAACTTGAGAGCATGATATTTCACTTGATAAAGATTCACGCCATACATTTTTTGAGGAAATTTTGATAAGATGAAGTGCCCGCATTCAGTCAAGTTTCAGGGCTTGAGCCAAATCCCTCCAAATGCTCTGTCTTCATGAGTGGGGTTGATGATAATTTGAAGCAACAAATTTGTGCTCTTCTTAACTTCTCTGAAGGTATTTTACCCATGAGATACCTGGGTATGCCACTGATTTCAAAAAGACTCTCTTGGCTTGACTGTAGTCCTCTCATTAACAAAATTGCTGTTCAAATCCAAAACTAGCGAAGCAAAAATACCCTGTCATATGCTGGGAGGTTGCAGTTAATTAAATCAGTTATTCTGGGTATACAAATTTTTTGGACTAGCAATTATATCCTACCAATTAAAGTTCTGGAGAGGATTGACAGTATGTGCTCTGATTTTTTATGGGGACATAAAATCCATTTAGTTTCCTGGAATTCAGTCTGTCAAGAATTCAAACAAGGTGGTCTGGGCCTTTTTCTACTAAGCTCTGGAATTATTCTACAGTTGCAAAAATGCTGTGGATGATACATCTTAAAAAGGATATTCTGTGGATTAGATGGATTCATGGTCATTATTTGAGACATAATGATATCTGGCAAGTGCAGGCAAAAGCTAGCGATTCTTGGACATGGAGGCAACTTTTAAAAGTTAGAGATATTCTGAAGAACAAAATTGGAAGTGTGGCTAATCTGATAAATGCAATTAACAGCTGCTGCACTAATGATAAAGTTAGTATCTCCTCCATTTACAGGACTATTTTCCAGCACCATAGTTTATTTGAAGGATCTGACACTATTTGGGGGGGTTGGCATTACCCCAAACATTCTTTTATTTTATGGCTTGCATCTCTCTCTAGACTTCTCACACAAGACAGGTTGTGTAACATGAGATTGCTTAGCTCAAGCCAATGTGTGTTTTGTTCAGTTCAAACAGAATCATGCCAGCACATATTTTTTTAGTGCCAATATTCAGCAAATGTATGGAATAAAGTGATGGAATGGATGAAGTTCAATTTGAGATCATGCTCATGGGACCTGATAATGAACTGGTTCAACCGGAATTTGAGAGGAAAAAGTTACAAAAAGAAATTGAAGAGAATTGCTTTATCAGTGTCAGTATATATGCTATGGCAAGAGAGGAACTTCAGGATTTTTCAGCAACAAAGAGTGTTAAGGTCCCCTGAATCACTGTTTCATGCAATCAAGCTCAGTGTGTATAAAAAAGTTTTGAACGATAGGTTTCCACAACATATTTTTCAGTTCATTGATAATCTGTCATAGAGTAAGACTGGATTTTTAAATCAGTCTATGATTTTGTATCTTTGATATGTACAAAATTTCTATACTTGGTGATGAATAAAATTTACATTCATTTACCAAAAAAAAATGAAGTGCCCGCATTGGCTCGGTCTAAATTCCGCTTGGTTTTTTTAAGAATAATTCCAGTGGATTAAATTATATGAAATGAAAAAATAAAGACGTATAAAATCAATTGAATACATGTATGCTTTACTTCTAATATACTGAAGAGAGATGATCCTCCGCACATGACAGAACTCGGCGGGTCGCATGGTCATCTTGGCAGCGACATGAAAGAGGCGAGCGTTATTTTCCCCTTTTCTCTTGGTGTGGTTGGGAGTATGGTAGAGGATGTGCCCCTATTATTATTTTATATATATAGAGTAAGACGTCTATCAACTTAAGTTGATAACCATCAAACTTCCTAGCCACTTATTTATTAATATAAAAAATCTTTTCATATCATGCAAGGATCCCTAGACAATATGAGTGGCTAAAAAATTTGGTGGATAACTTTTTACTATCAACTTAAGTTGACACAAGTTTTGCTCTCTCTCTCTTTATATATATATATATATATATATATAGATAGAGAGAGAGAGAGAGAGAGGGAGGGAGAGAGATGGGTATGCTTGGTACTAAGCACAAGTTTGGTGCTTAATAGTGAGGTGACATATTCCCCTCCACTCATTGAAATCGGGACCCACATTCACATTGATCCAACACCGTTATACTCCTACTATTATACACATAATGATATTATTTCAGACCAATTTATTGTGTTTATTTTTAAGCTAATTATTTGTTCAGACTTAAATGAATCTGATTAAATTGATTGGTTAACAAAATAATCAAATTGAAGATTTATACATGATGGTTATAATGAAATTAATTTCAGTTGTGAATTTAAATGCCAGTAAATTATTTATTTAAAAGTATGAATGTAATAATTATTTAACAAAATAAAATACTCTTTCTAGATGTCTAGGAGCGGAACACAGCCATACTCTTGTGCGATTTCTTGGCCAACAGCAACAAAAGCTTATTTGACTCCATAAGATTGGACAGTTAAACATGAACGTTTCGACTCCCAATCTACTCAGCCAGGTTCAAAGTTCACAACTCAAGCATAATAACACCACAATTATTAATAACATGCCCAGTTTTCCAATCAAAGGGCTTATTTTAGATAACCTCTATATTCTTCCACGTCGACAAATAGAGGCTATAATCGTGCACTATTTCGCACTCAATTACATAGTAGTGCCATGTTCCATCTCAGGCTCCAATTCCAGATGTTTTTTGCAGTAAGGCTTAATATATATGTCGAACGAACTCACAGTTGCCTTAGAGCTACAATTGTACGACATCCCTCGAACAATATATCCCTTAGCCATCAAGAACTTCTCAGTTCCTGCGATAATACTGATAACGGATTTTCCATAAGAAGGCACCGACCTTCGTCCATATATGGAAACAATACTATTATTATATTTTCCTGCAACAAATACAACGTTACCCAACAGGAGTATGTCCCTTGTTTTGGCAAGTGAGGATTCTACTGACACCCCTTGGAGTCGAGCCACGAGCTTTGATTTTGGGTCCTTCCCTACCCTGAGCTCGTGGTCATTTACTCGAGTAGTACCAAAGGAGTATGGAATTTTGCCAGGATTGATGATGGTTAGGGTTGTGGCCTCTGGGCCCTCGATAATCCTGTGCAAGTAGAGGGGGATATGGATGAATTTTCCTTTGTGACAGGTCTGGAAAGAGAGAGGAACGATGGCTAATAGGGTAAACAGAAGAAAGCTATAGGTTACTGAAGAAGAGGCCATTATGGATATTTGTGCGTTGACAGGCATGGAGATGTATAAATTTATATAGAGATTAGAGGCTGTAGATGTTTGCAAGTATTGTTTATACCTAGAATCCAAGCTAAGAAACTCTTACTATAAGGGGTTTGTCTTCTCGCCCTGATAAATTTTGCCTATGTTGCATACTTTTGAATAGTTTCATTACATTTGTTCCTTAGCATTAAAAGGGAGAAAGAGAAACTAGTACACGTTAGTACCTTATTACATAAGATGTAATGAGATCCACACAAGTTAATTAATCAGAGATTTTTTTATATAAAAATTTGATGATAAGAAATATTATATATATATATAGAAAAAACGTTTCAGTTTAACTACATTTTGAATACAGTTTCATCTCCTCTTTACCCCAAGAACTAAACTATTCACATTCCGTCGATTTCTCAAAACTTAGGTTACTTTCATCATCTAATTACAAATCGAACGAAGGCGACCAGCAAGACTTCGACTATGGAGATGAAGAAAAACAACACAGAGACTCCAAAACCCTCGTCTTCAAGAACGGGTAAAACGATTCAAACCCTCGTATTAAAAATGTAATTTTTTTATCAAAGTTTGAAAATTTTTCATAGATTCAGTGGGGAAAGGTTCGTAATTTAGACATGAATCACTTGCATGTTGTTGAATACTTTTTTATTTTATTTTTTTAGCTTTCCCATAATATGTTACCGATGCATGTTCTAGTTTAGGGTTTTTATTTTTTACATTTGCCTTTATCTTGTTAAAAACAAACTAAGTTTTTCTTAATATTGCAAGATGTTTTCATTTGTTCTAAATGGGTAACGATTAATTCTGGTTGTCTGGATTCTGCAATATGCACTCTACTTTAATCTCCTCGATTCACTTGAGTGAAACGAGATTCACTGCAGTGAATCTCGATTCACACTTGAGTGAATCGAGATTCACTGCAATGAATCGAGATTCACTAGAGTGAATCGTGATTCATTGGATGTATCTCTATTCACTAAAGTGAATAGCTACTTAGTGGAGTCAATTTGTATTCACTCAAACATAGAGAATCTCGATTCACTAATTATATGGTTTATGTATACTAACAGTGAAATTAAACTGTAACGATGATCAGTTTTTCCTTGTTGTGTTGAGTGACGAGACACTGAAAGAATGTATGGTATGTCATAGAGTTGGTTTCATATCATAGAATCTGGATTCAATTTGCTGAAGCTCGATACAATTTGTTGAATTTAGATTCACTTTGATAAATCTCAATACATTTGGTTGAATCTTGATTCACTGTAGTTAATGTAGATTCACTTAAGTGAATCTCGATTCACTAAAGTGAATCTAGATTCACTTAAAGTGTATCTCGATTCACTACAGTAAAACACTATTGACTGCAACGATTCAATGGAGTGAATTGATATTCACTCACGTGAATCGCGATTTAGTGCAGTTAAATGATATTCGTTTCAGCGAATCGCTATTCACTGAAGTGAATTGCGATATGGATTATAATATCTATATTCAATAATGTGATTAAACCTTCATGCTTGCCATGCATTATGCAAAGTCTGTTATCATTAAAAAATGAAATGTCATCGGTTTAGCAGGTCTACGATCTAGTTCAAGAATAAAAAAAAAGCATGTGTTGAGATGGTTGAGGTATTTACACCTATACCTCAATAGAAGACAACACGGGTTGTGACCATGCAAAGCAGTGACGATGACTTCATCAACCCCCCAAATAATCCTGATAGTGAGGAAACATTAAAGCGTACAAGGGATGAAGACAATGAACAGACACCAAAAAGAATGAAGAAGAAAAAGGTTGGTGTACTAAAAATTTTTAATTTTTTTTGTGTATTCAATGATGGATAATTTGATCTAATTATATTATTTTCCTCACTGGAGAAGCTTGTGAAAAAAAGATATGTGAGGTCCAACACTGACGATGACCTCGTGAACCCCCCAAATAATCCTGCAGCTGACGAAACATCAAAGCGTAGTAGGGATGAAGACAATGAACAGATGACAAAAGGAAGGAAAAAGATGAAAAAGGTTAATGTACTAAACATCTTTTTACATTTGTGAACGATTAACTCTGGTTGTCTGGATTCTGCAATATGCACTCTACTTTAAACTCCTCGATTCACTTGAGTGAAACGAGATTCACTGACTGCAGTGAATCGAGATTCACTGCAGTGAATCGAGATTCACTGCAGTGAATCGAGATTCACTGCAGTGAATCGAGATTCACTGCAGTGAATCGAGATTCACTAGAGTGAATCGCGATTCATTGGATGTATCTCTATTCACTCAAGTGAATAGCTACTTAGTGGAGTCAATTTGTATTCACTCAAACATAGAGAATCTCGATTCACTAATGTGAATCCTGATATTCACAAGAACATTTTTTGTTATTAACTGATGGATAATTTGTACTAATTTTCTTTTTTTGTCACTGCAGAAGTTTTTGAAAAAAAAATGAGAGTTCTGAACCTAAGGAGTTGACTAGGATACGGGTCTCTCCAAAGATATTCTCTGATATGGTTTTGTCACTCTCTGACTCCCAAAAAGAATGGGTGAGACTAGCTGGACTTGGAGGTCTTTTACAATTTGGATTAAAGGAACTGCCACATATGTTGGGGTACCAGATTCTGCAGTCCTTTGACAGTGAATCCGTTGCGCTTAATCTTCCCAGAGGATCAATCAGTATCACAGAGGAAGATGTACATCAAGTGATGGGATTACCTCTAGGCAGGAAGCGTATACCAGCTTCCAGTACTGGCAAGTCAGCATTGGTGGATGAATGGAGGGGTCAATTCACAGACAGATTTGGTTGGAAAATTACGCCAGGGGCTGTGTCTGAGAAACTGAAGCACAGTTCTGATGTTAACCTCTTTTTTACACTGAATTTCTTGGTTCTCTTGCACAACAGCATGATCCAATCGCTTAGCAATCCGTATGTCAACCAACGGATTCTAGTACTTGGTGATAATGTTGATCAGTGCTCTCAATACAATTGGTGTTCTTTATTACTTGACTCAATGATAGATAGCCAAAAAAAGTGGAAGGTTGACCCGACAAAACAATTCTACACGGGTCCTCTTGCATTCTTGATTGTAAGCCACTTGTATAATATTGATTTATTTTTACATTACTGTAGTTAAAGTAGTTTTACTTGATGATTACTAATTGATGTGCTTTATTTCTTATCTCCGTCTTTCTAGCTTTTCTATGCCGATCGGGTTCTGTTCAAAGGTAGGAGGTTGGTTGAGAGAACAACCCCTACATTTTTAGGATGGACTGACTTCGCCTTGAAGGAAAGACAGTCAGAGGAAATAAGAACAAATTCATTTGGCAAGGGTGCATTTACAGAGAGGGCTGAACATCCAGATTCATCTCGAATGCAGAGTGCTACTGGAAACTCTCCTAAAAGTGTTGATACAATTAGAAAGGTTAGCAAATTAAGTTGCAATACTTTGTTTATTCAATTTAATCTCGAATAAGTAGGAGTGAATCTCGATTCATTTAAACTGAATGTCGATTAAGATACATTGAATGTAATCTGGATTCACTACTACTGAATCTTGATTCAAATACATTGAATGTAATCTCAAACTATCGAATCTTGTCTATCGCCATGTTAATAATTTGATTCAAATACATTGAATGTAATCTCAATCTATCGAATCTTGTCTATCGCCATGTTAATAATTTATGGTGACCAATGTCTGTGATATTCAAAATGCAGGATTGCATTGAGAGGGTTCAACGGAGAGCTACAGAGCTGGAATCTGCAAAAAATAGATTTGATGCTGAGTGTGAGACAATGAGAAAGCTGTTCCCCAATGACAATGAGCTCTTTTAGATTCAACAGAGAGTTTCAAATGTACTTGTGCATGGGTGGGGACATCGTGTAAGTACCTGTGACGATGAAACAGCTGTGGGAAACATTGTTGATGATACCCCTAATGTGAACACCAAGGTGAGTAGAGATATGCATGGTTCCCCTGTTGTTGATCCAATATCAGGTGAGATACCACAAACACAAGTCTCCCCAAATTTTATTCAAGAAGTTGATAAGATTATAGAGTCTGTTAGCATGAAAAAGGATGACAGACCAGTGAGACGGAAGATCAGCGAATGTAGTACCCCACAGACTGAAGAACCTAGTTTTTCTCTTGGGTTGACACAAGATACTTAGACTGAATCAGTGGAAATGGTTGATGTTGTTCAGATTGCTAAATCTTGTGAATCTAAAATCATTAATGAATCTGTACAAAGAACTGATAAACAATCTGAAGATGCTGCTGCAGTTAATGAATGTAAAGGTAAGAAAGTTCAGGTGGCCGAAAATAAGGGACATGCGGGAAGGGGGAAAGAAAAGAGGATGGTAAAGCCTGCAACGTCTCTTCGGTCACCATGGGTGCAGAGGGTATCTCAGATTACTGCTAGGCAAAGTCAGCTGGAAAGCATCATATAGGATTGGGTCCATAGAGAAATAAGGCATTCAGGTGATGATTCTGCTGAAGAAGAGAATTTGTAAGTTCTGAACACTTATTTGTTATTTTATTATTAGGTGTGAGACTCGCTATTGTTGCTGTTTTTTCAGTGAAATGGTATTTTGTCCCTTTATTAAATTGAATATTGTTACTGTTTTTCAGTGAAATGGTTTTTAAGTGGAGACAAATTGAATGTTTCTTACCTGCTTTCAAGACTTTCCTTCCTTCTGAGGACATTGAGGCAAATTTAATCAGCATTTGGTCCAATATTTTGAACAACAGAGAAAAAATGAAGTCGGAAAATTCTCCTCTTAGATTCTTCTGCAATGTTGAGACAACCGTACGTATCTTCCTTTATTTTATTTAAAATAACACTTGAGTAACATATTATTTAACCAGTTTTATGTTGTACAGTTTTGCAACATTCATCACACAGATGAGGTCAATGATGAATTGAGATACAATCGGTTTGCTTCCCAGATGGATGAGAAACTTGCT